TCATATTCCGGGCGCACCGCATTATAAGGCGCATAGAATAGAAGCTACAATAGTGGCTGCCGTTGCGTTATGCATCCACTAGATGGAGCTACGGTAAAGGGAATGCAATACAATACAATTCAGCTTTATTTATTTCGAGCCTTCACAACCACTGCAGCTGGAACAAAGCGCTTTGCAGAACATTTAAAATGCTATGAATGAACGAATAAAATACTATGTCGAAGAAATCAGAATTGTGATCCATATATGAGGTGCGTTGGATTCTAAGGCGCACTGTTGGCTTTTGAAAAAACTGAACGTTTTTAGGTGCGCCTTATAGTGCGGAAAATATGGTAAGTAAACATGCTTAAAAAAAGACCACATAAATTTGCATATTTTAAAACACCCTATCTCAGCCTTACATGCCCAAGTCGCTATGCCTAAAGTGCAAACTTGCAATAGATAAAGAGAGGCCTTATTCAAAGGTGAGCCAAGGTACTTGACCTTCATTGGGCCTTTTCAGTCTTTGGGGGAAAACTCAGTCGCAGCTCAATGTGGCACGGTGAAGGCCGGGGCACGAGAGCCGCTCTTAAAGAGGGGAATACCCCAAATACCCTGTGCCCCCTCGCGGCTCCACACACTTGCACACACACCACTCATCGAAAAAGCGCAGTCGGACTTCAAAGTTGGTGTGCATTCATTAATTGCTCTTTGAATTGATATCAGTGAGTCACAATAAATGTGTGAAAGGAGAAAGAGGCTTTAATGAAGGATAGAGGAGCCATTCATTTGAGGATAACTATGTTTTCATGCTTGGACAGTCATCATGCATGGGCTTATTCGAAAAAAAACTCACGAAAGAGGGAGGACCATGGGATGGGGAGAGTGGGCTCGAGAGCCCCCGGGGTAGAGGGGAGTGATTTGGTACTCGCCACTTGGCCCTGGTGCCCCCCACCCCCCATCCCCTCCTTTGCCCTCATGCCCAGAAACTCATGAGTGACACATTCATTCTTTCAATGGACAGACAGAGCCCTCTTCACCAGACACTTGGCTCAAGACACTTATGGCCAATAGCTATTATAAGATCCTCAGAAACCTTCTTGGTCCTGTCGTTATCACGTCATGACGAGACAGAATCAGTATGGCGGCATTCAAGGGGGACATGCACTGTTCAGTGTTTGGATTAAGTCATCTTTTGTCTCTGTTGTGACTAAAATACAGTCGTTTGTCAAGTGTCATTTGAAGATATTGAGTCTTGTTACAATGTGGAAAGATGAATTCACCCACATGACTGCACATGACTGGTGGCTTAAACCGCATCAGTGACACACAGCGTGCCTTCTGTGCTCCATTTCTTCTCTTGCCAAAACACCTCTCCCCTGGCCCCGATCCAGCATATGCCAACCTGTTACACTCGCAGCACTTGAGCAAACTTGGACCCGAGTCGTTTTTACACACCCACATTATTTGCACAAACAAAGTCCTGCTCAGTTTCTGTGACAAAGACAGCTAAATCTTAATGGCCCTTTCATGTATTGTCTGCTCACGGTTCCCTTTTGTGCCGCAGCCAGTGGCCCAGACCCCGGTTACAATGAGCCAAGGAGAATGGAGGCAGATTGAAGGAATGCGCCTCAATAAACCTAATTATGACATGATGACTGCGCTCACCATGGTAAGGGTGTTTTCAAAGATCCCGAGCTTATTCAATTAGCCCTTTCCAGGATCCTCTTTCGCCAAATAAAGTTATCCCTTTGAATGTTTGCGTTGCAAAGAGGAATGTGTGCGCATGCATGTGAATCTGTGTGTGCACGTGGCTAAATGGAAATGTATCAATCCCTCGACAACACTCCTCTGTATTATCTGGCTAATTGAACCTAACGAAGAAAGGACTCTTAAAGACACACTGTGAAAACATGAAGCAGCAGTAAGGAGAAGATTGGCCCACTGTGACTATTTTGTCTTGAGGGTCAATTACAATGACGCTTACGCTTCGAGCTGAAGGGCCAACTCTACTGCCAAATGCATTCATATCTGACAGAATCTTCGCTGATTTCTAAAATGGCCGTTCTTTGGAAACATAGAGTATAAAGACTGTTTCATAAGGGACTGCTGGTGACTATCACATGATCTATAGTTCTGGCTGAGTCTCCCGCACATTGATTCAGTATGAGTGTTTTGAAGACAGCCAACAAGTGGAAACACAGATTGCTGCCAACTGCAGCTAAAATCTGTTCCTCATGAATTTGCCATTTTCACTACTTTTATGAATACGGTTTGTAATATTTACATGATTAGTTATGTGTTTATTATTATTATCATTATTATAATTATTAGTGAGGGGTGTTTTGTTTTGTTTTTTTTTTGTTTTTTTATTAAGGGCGGCCTGGTGATCGACTTGTTAGCACGTCCGCCTCACAGTGCAGAGGTGTAGGGTTCAATTCCGGCTCCGTCCTTCCTGTGTGGAGTTTGCATGTTCCCCCCATGCCTGCGTGGGTTTTCTCTGGGTACTCCAGTTTCCTCCCACATTCCAAAAACATGCATGGCAGGTTAATGGAACACTCTAAATTGTCGCTAGGGGTGAGTGTGATGGTTGTGTGTCTGTGTGTGCCTTGCGATTGGCTGGCAACCAGTTCAGGGTGTTCGGCGCCTACTGCCCAAAGACGGCTGGGATAGGCTTATTATTATTATTATTATTATTATTATTATTATTATTATTATTGTTATTATTATTATTATTATTATGATCATTATTATTATTGTTATTGCTACATGGCCACTTGACAATCACATTCTATTTAGAACAGTTTGAGTTCACGATTCGCAGTCCGATAAAGATATGTGCTGGCCAGTTAGACTAAAAAATAGAACTGTTTCAGTTGCAAACAGATGGATTGCACATTTACATATATGTTTAACATGTATAAATTTTGTTTAGTTTATAGGCAATGGTTTCACACGTTGGTAAATAAATAACACGATTAAAAAGTGATCTAACTTTGCAGGTGACAGCAGAGGAGAAAGAATAGGAAACAGAGGGAGAGGGGAGGAGTCGCTCTCCAGATGAAAGTGGGATGAAATAAAAGAGTCAATTTAATCTGCTTGAAGAGATTTGAGGAGCTGGCGGCAAGTGAGGGTGGGGGTCAGTGGGGAAAGGTGGCCGGCCCCAATTGTGAAACTATACGCTCCGGGGCCAGAGCTGGGCTCTCCGGGGAGAGAACATTGGTCGCTATTCACCCAACACACTCTTTAATAAACTCCCTCCGCCATTAAAAGTGTCATAGCACAATATCGACATCGTTTAAAAGACATTATTAATGTTCGGGGGAGGAAAGGCCGACATCCACCAAAAGAATCAATAATAGATCATACGGTTTAGAGTGAAGACGTCTTGGTTCGTAGCACACCCTCCCAAGCGCAGTGGGCTTTGTTTGGTTGACCATTTAGCATCTGGGTACGTGACAACTAGCAACCGATCCCCTGGACACTGCTGTTTTTCTTAACACTAGCCACTTCATAAATCAGAAAACTATACATATATAAGCAACAGAATTTAAGGTGAGTCTTTACTGGAATGGTGTAACTGTAATGTTGCCTATTAAGATAAGATAAGATAAGATAACCTTTATTTGTCCCACACTGGGGAAATTTGTGGCCAGTTTGCAACTTAGTGAACGATTAAGCCTATACCTACAATTCAAAATTAAATAAGGAGCTTTACTGTGTTGTGGGGGACCAATGCGCTTCGCCTGGCTATACGTGAGTGGATTTCTGAGGCTTCTATTGTAGTGCCTGACTGGCAGCCAGCCTCTATAGAAGAGCCTAAAAAGGAAACATTTTGTCGAGGAAAGTGGCCATTTTCTCTTGGTGAACGGCTCCTAAAACAGGGCCACAGCACTCCTTGAATAATTCATCCATCATTGCGGCCTCATAATATGTTTTGTCGGGCTTTGCTGTGGACGGAGAAGCTGTCGTCTTCCCCTTTCTGAATTCTAAACAGGTTTCTCCTTTTCGTCTTTAGCAGCACCCAAATGTGTTTCCAAGCTGGCGCTTTTGTCCGCGCACAGCCCAAGCGTGAGGCCCGAATAGACTCTGACGCCTTTGTCTCCCAAGTTCATCCCCGTTGTGCGTGCCGGCCCGTCTTTGTGCGCTGATGGAAACCGTTGAACAAATGTTTGATCAACTCATCTGGGGGAACAATTGTGTCTCCTCAGACTGGGGCGCTTTATCTCTCATCCTCTAAATCATTCAACATTGCCGGACATGTTGACATTTTGATGTTGATATTTGACAAAATGGAAAGAGAAGAATCGACAACTAAGGAACACGTACTTGAACAAAAAAGCGCCTGTTTGGAAAATAGGTCATGCAACTATTAGTTTCTCACACGTACAACCTAGCTGAGGTATCAAAAAAATATGCCAGGAGGGGACACTGGAAAACTATTGAGATAATAATCGATAAAACTAATTCAAAGGAAGAAAATAAAATAATTGATCCCTAAAGCCCCAACAATCAAAGGGAACCGAAAAGTCAAGACAAACTTGCAGAATTTAATACAAATCACACCTAAAAACAGTTTTGTGTAGTTTTTTTTTTTTAACAACTGTGCACTTGAGTGATTGACGACCCAATATTTGAAACGCGTCGTTTTGCTATTTTCATTATTCACTGAGGCATTACATTCGAAGTTGTGGGTATTAGATGTTTATACAAAGCGAGCGAAAGAAAACGCTGCATGCACACACGTACACTCACACTTGCGCGCGCACACACACGAACACGTGCGCGCGCGCACACGCACACACACACAAACCCGTTGCGAGCACTAAAACATCACCTGCTGTTTGATTTACTGTCTGGCCTCATGGGAAAAGCATTAGACATGGAGACATGGTCGATAAAGAATTCAAAATTCAACGCTTGCGCCCCCATTCAACAACATCACGTCTACGAAATAACACAAGAGATACCGGCATTGTAAAATAAATACGTTCGAAATAAAAACCGAGAAGGTTACTCACATCTGTCTCCCAGGATGCCTTCAATGCTGTGCTTGGCCCTGCGGTCAATTTCCTCCAGCTCACTTTTCTCCAGGTCATCCTCATCCTCCTCTTCGTCGTCTTTTCCCCCAAACTTGCTGCGCATTACGCGACTGATGGAGCTGACTGCAAAAGCGTGCGGATGGGGCAACTTATTAACGCTACATTTAAGAACATGTGCTTTCGACTACTACCACTACTACTACGACTAATAATAATAATAATAATTAATAATTAATTCCTGCCCCTTTTACCTGAGGGGACACTGTCGCGATGACATATCCCATCCTTCAGTAATTTATCCCGAATCTCCCAGCTAAACATACCCGGATTTTCCCGCTTGCATTCTTCTATTCTCTTCTCTACGTCCGGCGTCGTCGCCTGCTTGAAATGTCAGAAAGTTTTCAGAGTTTATTTCGCTGTGCGCGTCCCGATCAGTTGGTTCATCCTTCAAAACGTTTCGTCCTGCTCTCTTCTTTTCGTGTACCTTTGGTTTGCTGCCCCCGATGGCCCCGGGTCTGATGGAGCCGGTCTCCTGGTACCTGCACAGGATTTTGGACACGCAGCCGTGGGAGACCCGCAGCTGCCGGGAGATGACACACGGTCTGATGCCGTGGTGGGCCATCTCCACGATCTTGTGTCGAATGTGGTTGGGCAAAGGCCTGCCATTTATGAAAACTCCACCGAGCTGGTTTACTCGCCCTTGACCCAGCGGAGTTGATACTACAACGTCGGAAAAATATAAAATATATTTTAAACCCGTTTTTAAAAAAAAAAATACACAACTTATTTATTACATCGGGACTCATCGTGCATTTTTAGGTGTTTATCTGCGACGTTATAATGAATCTTTTCGAGGTGATGAATCATGTCACAAATTGTTATATAGGCCTACATTGCAGGCTAAATGTTTTGCCGTTCGCAGTGGTAGCAAACAACAAGTCGAGTTCTTTTGAAATGACACGAAAGACTTCTTCGTGACAACTTAGTGACAGATGGTGTGAAGTTTTACCTTCCAGCGGGAAGCCACTGCGAGGGTAGTTCTGAGCCAGCGTGGGTCTCATCATCCTGGGAAAAGACCCAGCCAGCGCGGTCATACCTCCTCCAAACCCAAAGATAGACAGACCCCTCCAAGCGGGGAGGCTGGCCGAGATGTAAAAAAAGAGGACCCCCGGGTCACCTTCTTTAGCCTGAGAAGCGTCAGACTTGACGGCTCGGTTATATTGTTGGAGCGAGGACCCGGGTGTCAAAGGACAGCCGCTTCTCTCCGATCATGGAAGAACACAAAAGAGACCCGAATGGGAACTTGAGTTGTCGAGTGTTTCCACGTTATCCTCTCCGCTTGGGAATGTATGCAAAAGCTTGTGCGTCCAGAAGGCTAAATGTTGTTGTTATTTGTTGATATCGGTCAAAGTGAGGAGACACGTTCCATGTTGTGGGGCTCATCACGCAGCCAGTCTTGCGCTCCCCGTTCTGATTGGTCGAGGGGGCAGACCCGCAAACCAAAGGTCTACGATGGTTGGCTGAGTGCAAAAACTTTTCTCCTATCACAGACGTCGCTACAGTTTTGCACCAAAAAGACAGCGTAGTCTTCTGCAGTGAAGCAACAGCCGGTTACAAGACTCTATAAAGAACTTCCAAAACGTAAAGTGTGTTTGGGCCTCCAAAAGAGAAAAATACGACGAGACACTTGTTGAATGTAAGCCGTTATGGTCAATAAAAAAATGTTCTCCTCCCACGTGGGTGTATTCTTTCTTGTTAAATGAAAGAGCAATGTAGAAATTCCAATGAGTAAACTCAAAAGTAAAAAATATTGAATACAGTTCATTCAAATCTAGTGAATTAAAAAAAAAACATATTTGTGAAAATAAATTATACATATTTAGCATACAATGCGCACATTGTTAGCGAAAATCGTCGTGAAAACTAAACAACAAATTAAATTCAAAACGTTTGTGTTACTTTTTCAACAGTCTTTTTTTTTCATCTATTGTTATGACATTCAAATCGCTGCACTAGTTTTGGTCTTCCGGGACAATGTGTTGAAATGTCTATACTCTAACCTTAAACGTCGTATAACAAGGGGGATCCGGAGTGGCTTTTCACACACACTCACACACACAAAAATATTTTACTGATTATTGTTACCACCCTGGGTCATGTGAGCCATTTAACGCCTGCTACCCAACACTGCAGGCTCTAATTTGTTTACACTCCATGCTTTTGTATTTGACACAAATGGTGCTAAACTGTGCGCAACTCGAGGAATTTATTGTGGTTTTCACTGTGAGCTCCAACCAGCCGAGAAGAAGCTGAAAGGGGGACGTGCGCCACAGCAGGATACGACGCCAGGGCGGCTCTCAAGAAAGTCTGCGGAAGTGTCCATGCATCCCATAACGTCAAACAATCACGACAGTCGCATCTTCAAAAGCCACAATATATTTCACACATGTCGGTCATCCCCATTGCCTCGTCTTAAATTCAGTGGCGGATCGAGTTACTAAAGAGAAAAAAAAAATCTTGTATCAATTCAAGCAAAGAGCGTCACTCTCATCCTTTGATTTGTGTTTTCCTTTTAATTTATCCAGGCTGCTCTTAGGAGGGAATAAATCTGAGATGTATTAATTGAATTAATCTTTGTGATTCGGGGCACATGGCCCAGCTGTGTCTGCTTGCTTCCATCAGATGGGACTATTAACAAATTAAGGAGTATAAAAGCACACTTTTATGTCAGGCTTTTATGGAAAATAAACGCCACTGAACTTTTGGTGTTAACCCCCCACCACCCACCCCAAACACTTCATTAGCCTTTCATGTGTCTTCGTTCACTTTAATTTACGCAACGATGAGGTTCCCATTGACTTTGGGGACTGGGGTTCAATTGTCATGTGCTTCGTGCAGTTCTTTTCCCTTTAAATTGCACTTCAAATGTTGTCTTTGCTGTCAAAAGGCGCATAGCCAAAGGGTGCGCGCAAAGTAAAAAAAAAAAAAAAGTAGTGCTTACGGGGGTCTTTCACCTGCTGTGGGGCGTCCTGATGCTTTCAGGCATAAGATAAGGACCCAAGCAAGTATAATATGTGGCTTCAAAGAGAGAGAGGAAATGTCAGTTTCCTTTTAACTGGGTTTTCATTTGTGATCAACGAGATAATGTTCGAGAAATGCGTATTTGGATTGCCAATATGGGCTACACTTAAGGGGTTACACGTGATTTCAACCATAAAACGCACTCTTCGGCGAACATATTTGTAGGCTATTGTGTTTGTCTGCTTGTTTCTCTTACTAACCAAAAGAAGGCGAGAGAGCCCCCGATTCGTGACGCTTACAAACGTGACGATTTGGGGGAGTCGGTGGTCTCATTGAAATTGGATATTAAGAGTGAAGAAAGCAGAGGGGGCAAATGGGAACCATGCGGCATGATGCATACTTCGGACCGCTCTTTTAAAGCGACATCGAATCTGCGTGTCCAATCCATTAGCAAGGGGGGAGAAATTCAAAGTCTGAATTCTGGCTTGATGAGAAATAAATGAGTTACATCACATGCTCTGCGTGGAGGCCAGTTATAAGCACATTAATGTCCAATTCATTTCAGTTAGGGTCAAACAATGGCAGCATGTATACATTTTTTTCTGCATTTCAAAATAATATTTGAATATTTCTCTAAATGAGGGCACCACGAAAATAAAAATAAAAAACAGGACCCACCAAAATGCGGGAAAAATGTTCCTTCCAAAACTTTATCATTCAGACGTTTCATAGATTTGTCTTCATTTTTATGAATGTTATTTTCGATCATCAAAATTATTGATTATTAATGATTATTTCGACACAAACGATAGGAGCAGACATGAGGATGTTGTTAGCGATTGTGTTAGATGTCACTAAATTATGCAAGTGCAATGATGATTGGTGTGCGAAAATAACCAAACAAGTGAAATTGTTCGTCTGACATAAATTCAATGGAATCCATGTTGTTGATTGACACAATCATATGAGCAATATACAATTGGGTGAGTGTTTTCTTTCTTTTTTTTTTTCTCTGTCTTTCCTTTTTTTTTTTTTTAACATGCCTGGCATTTATTTGGTCATGGCTGATTTTCAAAGACACCCTTATCCATTTCACAAAACTCAGTGGGAGTGTATCGAATTGAGAGATACGGCTTAACTAAGTGCGCCTGGACATGAGACTTGTTGACTTGCTTATGCTGTGGAGTTGAACGAATTGGGAAAGTACCGGCGTTGTGTGGTGAGGCATCCGTTTTTGCAACTTTTTGGCATTAGTCGTCAATCAGTCACTGAATATTGGACTGGGCTGATTAACGACGTTCACAAAATTTAGGAGGGATCACTTAATAAGTGGCTTCATTGACACGTGCATTTTTGAGCGCATTTCCATCTGAGGCTTTTTTTTTTTTTTTTTTTTTTTTTTTTTTTTTTTTTTTCTTTGGCACAAAAAAAAAAGGTTTTTTTTCCTGAAATGTATTCATGTTTGCAAAACAAAACATAAAGAGCAATTCTCTGTGCAAATGTTGTTACTTTAACAACCACATATTCTCAGAAAAGCCAACAATAACTTCTAGGTCCTCGGAAATAAATGAAATATACTAACTTTTGAAAATGTACCCCATTACTTGTCGAAAAAAGCGGGGGAAAGTGCTTCATAGTAAGTGTTGGGAGAAGGTAGGCTGAACAATTGAAGTCAATGTTGGGTGTGGAGTTGTAGCGGGGTTCAGTTTGATTCTTATGTGTCCCATGCGAATTTCAGAAGTTTGGGATTTGGGGCGTAGGAACCAGTTCTACATTAAAATACTTTCGTGTCCATAGAGTCATGTGTTCAGCATAGAATTACACTCCATGTGTTCCATGTATTCCACCTAGTAAGTGCAAAGAATTAGGAGGCTATTCAGTGCCTCATCCTCAAATGCAGTTCCTGGTTTAATGAGTATCACATTACAACTAACTGATTGTATTATAGCAACGATTTAAAACAGATCTCTGTCGAATTCACGACAGACAATCCCAGGATATGTAAATTTGTGTCAAATTGTCATGACATGTTTTTAATGTTTGGACTAGAAGAATGACCTTGAGGCATGTTAACCCTTTCATGCACCAATAATGATAACCTGTAACCTGATAACATGATAGGCTGTGTACTGTAGTAACCGCTGTCCCTGAAAGGGTTAAAAATGAAGGTGGCTAAAAAAAAAAACAAGAAATAAATAAGATGTGAAGCAACATCATGTCGCAAACATTTTAAAACCGCAATGTATAAATGCTGAAATATCTACTAACGATCCCAGTGGATGCTTTGTTGCAGTGGGGCTGCACATCACGATGATTGGAGTCAAGGTTGCTTCATTGAGCAACAAGGTGAGGCACAAGAGTCAGGGACACACACATCCCTCCTATTAAAAAAGCTACATCACAAAGCATGGTCTTGACATTTCAGTAGTCTATTGTGCACATACTAACGTAGAGTGTAAAAAAAAAATCTATCGTTGAGTAAGCTTTATCGAAAATAGGAAACCCTGCAGGTGCAGTCTTCATTGGGGGGGAAAAAGAGAAACAGTGGCATCCTGCAGCAACAATTACGAAAGCTGAAGGGGGTGAAAAGTGTTCATAAAGAGCTCATAACAGCCAACCAATATCTGACTTATTTGCAATGGGCAGTTATCACACAGTGAGTGGGGTGAAAATCTGATATTATGTAACAGGCTTGTGATGTTAGGGTGGACAGAAGAACCACACATTCAGTCGCCAAATCAAACATATCTGTTGAAACCGCGAATAGTGGTCCAAATACATACAAATAAAGTCACACTGTCGTTCCAAGATGAGGGAAAAGATAATTCAGGATCAGGATAGCCAAATGGGTATTTCCTACACTGCTAGAAGGCCATTTAGGATGATTCAAAACCCTAGAAAAGGTAAAGGGGCAAAAGGGAATATCAGTCTGTAAGTGACAACAAAGCCACACAAGCTCGCATGAACAGTCAAAAGCAAGTCAGGCGTTTCTCCGAGAGTTACCGGTGGTAGATGAGCGGCCTGTCTCATGGTCCGGTCTGTATTTGAGCCAGCACATGAGCCACGTGACCACCACGGAGAACATGGCCAGAATGCTGGCCACCGATAAGCAAATGGGTCCCGCCGGGAGGGGAGGGATGCCGTGACTGTTCACAAAGATCAGGCCCAAGAACAGCAGCACCAGCATGGACAGGAAGGAGAAGATTACACACACGCAGCCGGTGGTTAAAGCCACCCTCTTGCAGCTTTGACAGCTGTCATAGCGCACCGAGTCTTGGGAAATGGTCGTGGCAGTGGACACGGTTGTGGACGGGGTCGTTTGGTTCTGGCTGCCGCCGGACGCTCCCGACGCCTCCTCCCGGCGAAGAGCGACGAGAGCCGGGTGCAGCGGGGGAGGGTACGGCGGCAAAGCGTCCTGGGGCAGGGGGTCGGAGTCGATGTAGAGCGGGAAATCCTCCGTCACCTTGGTGTTGTTGGGAAGGTTCTGGATCCGATAATCCGGCACCGGCGTCCGATGGCGACACACGGGGCAGCTGATGCGCCATGGCCGCTCCTCCCGGAGATGGAGAGTGTTGAGGCACTCCTCGCAGAACGTGTGCAGGCACTCCAAGATCTTTGGCGCCCGGCGGTCAAGGTCGAAGTAATTGTAGCAGATTTTGCATTCGTATTCCTCGTAGGGGAACGCTGAGGGGGGCGGCAGCGGGGGTTCTGCTCCGTTTGATGCTAGATCTACCTCTGCCATGTCATCTTTCGCCATTCACATTCTCCGATGAACACAAAGGGAGCTGGCGGACAGATGCTGACGTCTATCCTCCTTTCCCCGTCCCCTCCCCTCCTCCTCTCCGCTGTGCTCACGGAAACGCCATCATCCCCGCAGAGAGCACCGTGTCTGCTTTACCATCCTTCATGCAGAGCTTGGAGGGCGTCGGCTGTCGCTGTGCCGCTTAAATATTACAATGCCCTATTTTCGCCCTCACTCGGTGTGGGAACGGATGATGTAATGCTGCACTGAGTGACTGACTAAAGGCTTATCCACCCACCATGATGGGGGTGGCCGTATAGTTTCATGTTTTGACCGACGTTGTGAACGAACACGCTGACACTCACTGAGTCACTTCTTTTTTTAGGGAGTTTGCAGACCCCCGTCAAGTCCAATCAGATTGTAACACTGGCAAATAATTTGCCTCTGAAAAGACATCCTGAGTTAAAATGTGTTGATGCTTTTCTCGGTTGCCATCTGTCCACTAGACCAGATCGGAATCTGGAAGTACAGTACATACTTTTCTTGGATACAACCCACTGTACTGTAAAAATAAAATCTAATCCTTGAAGGTACCACCATGTTTAGCTTTTCACAATCAATTCACTTCACCGTAGTCCATATGCAAACGGTTTAGCATGATCAAATATATACCGTGTATATACGGTATATATATATATATATATATATATATATATATATAAATGGGGCAGGAGTGGAGGCACACATTGAATTCATTAATCAAACATGGATTAGACTAGCTTCCTCAATTCCCCTATAAATCCGCTTTTTGTTTCATACAAAAGACATTTATGGCAAATGAATTTGTGTAAATCCTTTGTCGGCTGTTTTTCTTTACTTTGGTCATAATGTCGGATTACATACAGAGCTGGTGTAAACACATTGAATTTTCCCAGGTTAGGAAATTTATCAGACAGGCAAAATTGGAAAGTCAATATCTATGCATTATTAAAATTATGGTCACTTCCGGGCGCTGAAAGTCAATCTGCAGCTCATATAGCTCAGAGGTTCCCACTTATTTTCTCTTTTATTTTTTTCTACTTTGTTGTTATATCCCCTTACCATTCCCTCACCCAACACCTACAGCCCCATTTGATGTTTTTTTTTTTTTTTGGGTGAAGATTTGGGACTTTTTCCACGTCTGTGAGGGTAAACCTACTGTACAATCGCAACAAATTACATCTTGTCCCTAAAAGAGAGCCTGGGATGGCATTTCTTCAGCGATTAATGCATCTTGGAGGAGAAATGGAGAGAAAGAAGACCTGCTCGCCAACAACATGGAAAACCAAACGGCTGTTTGAAAACTGCATTTGTTTGTTTCCATTCAATCTTCAGTTACTGCAGTCAACACCAGCGACGTTTTACACACTGTGATCACAAGATTATAATTTCAGCATCCCGGTGCACTCAAACTGGTCATTGGAGGCTTCAATCGTGTTTCTCTCGCTCATGGACTTACAGCAGCCCAGTGTGCAGTGATCAAAATAAAACTCAGCCAATGTAAAAGCTCACATGCCTGATCCTCACTCCCTCCTCTGGGGAGTGTGACTTCAACTTCAAACAATTTAAGACCGCCAACAGGCCACTGGCAGAACAGCAGGCAGCCAAATAAATGTGTATTTTTGTATGTGAGAGTGAGTTGATGGGAAAGTGAACAGGAACACGAAAGAAAGAAAGAAGATAATGGTGGTGGGGGGCGGTGTCACAGGGTGAAGGTGAAGGAAAAGTGGGTAGTGGTGAGATGTGGTACACATGAGAGGGGAGGAGTGAGACAAAAAAGCAGCTTCATGCTATAATTTCTTGCTCATAAAAGCTGATATGACTGTGCAGCTCCTTCTTAATCTGTCTGTATACTATTTTCAACAGGATGAGTTGGATGACATGGCCCTAGTTTGGAACAGCCATCTCATCAGGCCCTCAAAGAACATGAATGTCCCCAGTGGTCGGCCCAACGTGATGTATACGTTACCTGAACTTTATGGTACAAGGGACTTCCTCTCCCCAGTTGACGATGAACAAGTTCAACTGTGCAAAAGCCAGTGTGTCTTTCGTTTGACCATGCCTTGTGATCCGGATGTATTTGCATTGTGTGCTTTTTTAATGTCCCGGTCCGATTTAATGCCACCAAAAGATCCATATCAGGCTGTGAACTTGTATTTGCACCTCAGAGCGGCCCTCACCGCTACTCTTTAAATTACAAGGATTATGTTTTCAGGGTTCAGAGACATGTAACTGTTGGTGAAAGTAGTTTTCCTTTCGAACACCAATCATATTAGAATGGTATTTATATTCTATTATTTTATATTCAAATGTAAATATAAATTACAGCCATCTATGTTTTGCTTGGTGTTTGGGCCAAAGTATATTATGGCTCCTCAGCTGGTGTGAGAAGTAACATTTATTGAAGCCTGAATTTGACCATTGTCAGTTCTTTTATCACTTCACTTTCAATGGATAATTGAAACACTTTTGATGACGAATAATGTATAGCCATCATAATTAAAAGCATTTTTTTATCTGCTGTTTTTCTTCCTGTATAAGGACAACATATTTGATCTACAATATAAAATGTTTATTTGTCAAAGCATTATTGGTGTAAATAAACATTCTTTCTTGGTTGCTGACTTTATCCACAAATACTTAACCAACGTGGATGCTGAAGAGTATTCCTGCATAATTGTACATCATCCCAATTGAATTTTCACCTGCCTGTAAATGATGACTACGTAATTGTCACTCCTCACTTTCGTCAGCAGGTGGTGTCTTGTGTTTAAAAAAACTTAGAATGATTTGGAACACATTTTATTCACATTGGCAAATTCTTACAAACATCAATCTCAAAATTTTAAATGGAATATAAAACTTAATACCTTTGGGTAAAACTGAAAACTCCCATCTTGCCTGAAACCATCATGAGAATAAGTGGTGCAGAAAATGGAAGGAATGGAGAATTAACATGGAATCAATTGCATTGTAATAATGCACAATACACAAATGGAAACACACAATTGCAGACTGCCCTTCACGTGGTTAACTATGCCAGATGTTTTACATCTCGAAAGTACAAATGAAGAACAGAGCCAATGAAATGCTTCAACTCACTCTATCTGTATATCTATCTCTCTCTCTCTCTCTCTCTCTCTCTCTCTCTCTCTCTCTCTCTCTCTCTCTATATATATATATATATATATAAATGGGGCAGGAGTGGAGGCACACATTGAATTCATTAATCAAACATGGATTAGACTAGCTTCCTCAATTCCCCTATAAATCCGCTTTTTGTTTCATACAAAAGACATTTATGGCAAATGAATTTGTGTAAATCCTTTGTGGGCTGTTTTTCTTTACTTTGGTCATAATGTCGGATTACATACAGAGCTGGTGTAAACACATTGAATTTTCCCAGGTTAGGAAATTTATCAGACAGGCAAAATTGGAAAGTCAATATCTATGCATTATTAAAATGATGGTCACTTCCGGGCGCTGAAAGTCAATCCGCAGCTCATATAGCTCAGAGGTTCCCACTTATTTTCTCTTTTATTTTTTTCTACTTTGTTGTTATATCCCCTTACCATTCCCTCACCCAACACCTACAGCCCCATTTGATGTTTTTTTTTTTTTTTGGGTGAAGATTTGGGACTTTTTCCACGTCTGTGAGGGTAAACCTACTGTACAATCGCAACAAATTACATCTTGTCCCTAAAAGAGAGCCTGGGATGGCATTTCTTCAGCGATTAATGCATCTTGGAGGAGAAATGGAGAGAAAGAAGACCTGCTCGCCAACAACATGGAAAACCAAACGGCTGTTTGAAAACTGCATTTGTTTGTTTCCATTCAATCTTCAGTTACTGCAGTCAACACCAGCGACGTTTTACACACTGTGATCACAAGATTATAATTTCAGCATCCCGGTGCACTCAAACTGGTCATTGGAGGCTTCAATCGTGTTTCTCTCGCTCATGGACTTACAGCAGCCCAGTGTGCAGTGATCAAAATAAAACTCAGCCAATGTAAAAGCTCACATGCCTGATCCTCACTCCCTCCTCTGGGGAGTGTGACTTCAACTTCAAACAATTTAAGACCGCCAACAGGCCACTGGCAGAACAGCAGGCAGCCATACATCGGGCCTGTGGCAGATAGGTATAAAGCAGGGGCCACCAATGTGGTGTCCACTTACACCAGGTAACCCCCAAGGACTCCATGAGTAGCCCGTGGACTTGTTCTAAAAATAACTCACCAGTGAATGACTAATGGTTTTCTAAGAAAGATTTTAAAACACTGGAAGTGACTTACAAAAATAGTGTTGATATTTATTTATTGATATTTAGGTGGCACAGTGGTCGACTGATTAGCACGTCCGCCTCACAGTGCAGAGGTGCAGGGTTTGATTCCAGTTCTGGCCTTTCTGTGTGGAGTTTGCGTGTTCTCCCCGTGCGTGCATGGGTTTTCTGCGGGTACTCCGGTTTCCTCCCACATTGCAAAAAGATGCAAGGCAAGTTAATGGAATACTCTAGATTGTCCCTAAGTGTTATTTTGAGTGCGAATGGTTGTTCGTCTATATGTGCCCTGCAATTGGCTGGCAACAAGTTCAGGTGTACCCCACCTACTGCCCAAAGAGAGCCAGGATAGGCTCCAGCAGTCCCGCGACCCTTGTGAGGATAAAGCGGATTGAATTTATGGGCGATCAGATTTGCGTGCAGAGCACAAAAAATACCTTTTCTTTCTGAAGCAAAAAAGGTCATACTATCTCACATGCACATTTTCAAATACAGAAAGGGAAGATTTTTCAAGCCCTGTCGTTGAGTCAAAGCCAAATTTACCTTCATAAATTTCAGCTAATCAAATCCCTGTCAGGTTCGGGTGCGAACCAATAAGGAGGGGATCCCAAAAACATAGACCAGAATAAAGAATAAATAAAAATTTATTTAAACAGCAGTGCAAAACCGACAAAGTACAAATAAAGGGTTCTGGCAACAAAGATCCAGGATAACACAATATAAACATAAAGCACTTGAAAACAGCCAGGTGAACAATTCACGAAAAATCACTTGCAATGAAAAGGCAAGGGAGTCCAATTGCACAACAACAAAACAAGCTAGAAGACAATACTATGAGATTAGACTTACATATGAAAACTACACGGAAAACAAGTGAAATACGAGCAGGAACTAGAACAGGAACATGAACATGACATCTAGATAAACAAACACCAGGTACATCAACAACAAGCAAGGTTGAATACTCTGACAGGGTACAGTCGGCTTGGGTGTCCTTTGAAAGTCCAGTGATTACAACGAGTGACGGGTGTGATGGTGGAGGGAACGCCCTCCACTCCAGCAGGAACTGAAGCACATAGACAGACAAGAATCAAAACCATGACAATCCCAAATCCAAAAATTGTAGACTTAAGTCTGACTTGAGTTAAGTCATGGGAGTTGAGTGCCCTACTTGTGTGTGTGAGTGGGAGTAAAAGTTAAAAATTATCCAGAAAAGAAATAGTAGTAGTGGTAGTGGCAAGTATGAAGCAATGAGCATTAATGACGATAAGAACAGATTCAAAAAAGTAAGAAAATCCCCATGCCCAGCCATGGGCATATTTAAGTGAATTCTTTGATGTTGTCATCTACATGAACAATTATGTTTATAATATTTGAGTTAGGGCCAAAATTCTGTTTTCTGAAAATTTTGGGATAACCCGTTTTCATGCACGAGCAGTCCTGTATACATGGTAAATGGGATATTCTCATTTAAACCACGATGCACGGACAACGTCATGACACAGCGGGACATCATTTCCACGTCTTACTTCAAAACTATCGATAAAATACATGATATTCATATCTTTTACCACATTAATAAAGTAGTCGATTGCTGCATCGCTCCAAAGTGTGGTTGGTTCTGTGCTGCTTGTTTTTGTTTTTTTGGGACAGTGGATGGTATGAAAAACAGACTTCTCAGCCATGTTGTTTGCTTGCTGTGGTGTGAACACTGTGCATATATTTGACTTTGACTGCAAGAATCAAATGTTTTATCCTAAAAATTGATTCTTAGAAAACTTTTAGTCAGACATAACTCCTGACCAACCCTGCCTATCACGTAGCTCTGCCACTGATATTGATTGATATAGTATGCTGTCTATATTGTAAGTGGATTAACGGGCTGCTACCTCAAATGGCGGGTCGTCTCTTCTGGTAAAACGGAGGGAAATAAGAATTAAAGAGCACTGCATTAGCCCCAAAAGACACCCAGCCATCTGCTCTGTATACCAAATGGCCAGTCCAGCCTTGGATAGAACATGTGCAGAATACAAATGAATGTTCTTTTCACTGGGGATATTCTGACCAAATATTTGGGTGAGAAAAGGAGTAACCCAGCGGTGTTTGGGTTTTTAAAAATTGAAATATGAGCATATTCAAGTTTTTGTGAGTGCATGCATGGTATTACCGGAATAGTGCTATCATAATCCAGTATTGGAAGGGGTATTGACTGCATGTAAACAAAGTCATTGATTCATGGCGAATGGGTTGTATCATGTGCCAGCCTTAAAAAAACCCACACCGGCATTTGGTGTTTTGAAAATTCTTCTTCTAATTTGAAACAACACCCATGGTTTGCATGTAATATTTCAGTTCTTAATATCTAATAAATATTTTCTTTTGTGAGTCACTTCCCATGAGCAAAGGTATGGGAACATGTGGTTTGCTTGATTTTTTTCTTTCTTTTTTTCCCCTCTGCAGTATGTCTCTCTAAGTTATTAAAACAGTAATTGTATTTATTTTAAAGGAAAGTTTCATTTTTACTTTGTACTCAAGTACATTTCAGATGCTCCACTTTTTTTTACATTACTAAAGTCCAGGAGTAGAATCAGTACTTTTACATATCTTTGTTGTTATATTGTTGTTTATTTTCTTTTTCTTTTACACAACCAACTACTTCTACCGTTCCACAAGTAGAAATGTGAATACAGTACCTATGCCACATTTTGCCTTTGCCCCCAAAACAAACTACCTGAACAGGCGGAGTCTATTTCCGTAGCGTCTCACGCCCATTAAACACTCCCAGACCTTTGAAGAAAGGTCGATCCAACTTTTACAAATCCTCACGATAACCAGTTCTTCCAGAGTCCACCTAGCACCGCCCAGTCGCGCGTACCTGTCACATACACCAGCTGGACGCGTGCGTGGTGCGGCGCTTGCTTCTTTTCAAAGGCGCTTTCAACACATTTGAGCACATATTCTCTTCACCGGCCAAACTGGAGGCCCTGGTTTACCTGCAAGATTCGGAGCTTGTGGCGGCCTTTCAGAGACGATGTGGACTTTACCTTGTCCAGGCGACGCGTCACAGTCGGGGGATGGCGCTCGCTGGAGACCCCGACCAAATTCACCAATCACGTGGTTTACGTAAGACGACGTGGGAGCGCCAGGACAGCAATTCTAACTATAAATACAACGAAGACGTGAGTACTTACTGTACTGTTTGTGCTCCCGCAACTCACCTCTTGCAAACCTAGAGAAACAATTCAAATACAACTCTGGTATCAGTATGTTAGATTAGAAAAAGAGTGCAATTCATATTTTTCGAACTCTGACTGGCTTTTCTTGTTAGTCTTGCTTTTTCTGTTTGCAGCCAGATCTTCATCTGCAAAGATGCAATTGCTTAGATTTGCCAGCCTTGTCTGCCTATTTCTCGACACGTTGCAGATTTGTAGTAACAATAGTGTCAAACTACTTCAAGGATGAAGAACTTAAGATCAACCACTGCTTCATAAAAACACATTTTTTGATGAATAGGACTCCGAAAACGTGTGAAGTATTGACATTGAAGGTTTTAAATGTCATATCCAAACAACCATCAGCAGTGGTGGAAGGGTGGAGGGATGGATGTATTACCTCCATTAGCTTTGGAAGAGGCCTGCTCTTCTTCCTGGAGTCCACCGTTCTCTTTACTGTACAGTGCAGTACACTCTGACAAAAGCGCAAAAAAGTGCAGATAAAAACACAGTTCATAAATGGTCAGGTGGTTAAATGTAAATCCACATCTATTAACTTGATCCCAGCATTTTACATTTACTGCCCAAAAATTGATGTGAATCTGAACATCTCAGTTTAACATTACTACCATGTTTTACACAAGGCAACGTCAACCAACATCAGAAGGGAAAATGCCTTGTAATTAAATGCTCTTCAAGCAATGTCGTCAGTCACTGTTTATTATTTCCTTGATGAATATGGTACATTGTAAATTAATAAAAGATGGAAAGTACTTTTGTGCAGAGGTATGTACTAGTTATAAGTATAACGGACTGAAAAAAAAACTTCAGTCTGTATTTTTTACTTTTACATTAGGAGTTGAATCGTTGCTAAATTCTTCTTGTAAAGACCCTGTATCTTCATTTTCCTGATTTGTTTTTATGTAAATTAAATATGTTTAAAGATGAGTGCTGAAAGGAGATGCAAAGACTGAGAACAATTTAGCACGGTATTATTGGCATACAGGAAGTTTTCATTTGAAAATGATGAAAGAACATAATTGTACCCTATTGTTTTGTACAATCTGCCTGAAATTGATTTCATAAAAGAAAAAATGTTTTTAAACAGAAATCTTTTAGTGTGTTTTATTTAAGGTAGTGAGGCATGCCGTATTTTTTTATCCGCACTGTGAACACTAATTAGTGTTAATATAATCTCAGAAGTGTCATCAATACTGCACAATCAAGCAAGTCATTTTGTTGCTGTAACACACTATTGGGTGTTGAACTTTTAACACTTTCGTAAATGTCATTTTAACACTGGGTATTGCAGACATATCTCTCTCTCTTTATATATATATATATATATATATATATAAAGAGCAAGTACTTTTACTGTCTCTGCCAATGAACAGATATGATCATCAAAATGGTTATTTTAATGAGCCGCAGATGAGATTCAAACTTAAAGCGTTTGGTTGAGCCATTGTTTTATTCATTGCTGCTTGTTTGTTGTATAACAGGGCTGCGGCGCACCGGAGTATGAAGTGAGGAACTGGCTGCTGCACTTCCTTTTTCTGTTCTCGGCTGGCCTTGGTCACGAAGTCTTTTATATCACCTGTCTACCATGTATTCATTGGTACCTGGACCCCTTCCTTTGTCGACGCCTCGTTAACATGTGGACTGTGAGTCAAAATATATACTCGGCCGTATACTGTATTCATGATACTCAATACTGAGAGCTGTGTCTCATTGTCAAAATTAGCGGCCTGTTTCAATCATATGAGGAACTGCCTGAAGTATAATGCACTATAGTTATACTCCATAGCACACTACAACAATAATGAAGAAAAAAAAGTGTTTTCGGGTCATGGTTAATGAACAAAAATATAAGGCATTAAATGGAAAAAGCCTTTGGGCAACTTCACTTAAGCAGCTAGCATTTTAGCATAAAACGTAACAATGGGTTCATGGCTGTGCATTTATAAGCTTACACCAGTGGTCTAGAAACAAAACAAACATTCACGAGTCCAAGTTTGGAAGTGTGAAAGGCCCTAAAATGGAGACACCTTGAGAGGTAAAGTATAAAGAATTAAATATTCCGGTTAAAGTGATTAGAATATTCACTGGTTAGATAATAATCCTCAAGATGGAGATCAATGACTTAATGTAGTTCAGGAAATTGAGAGAGTTTTCTGAAATATACACCTTTCAGTCGGTGAGAAACAATATTAAGAATAATTTGTGGTTGACACTATGTTAGCCAGCTAACTCAAAACCCTGACAAAATGGTTCGCTCACTGTCTTTTTTACATTGAGACTTGAGACACGGAGACCCATTTGGATTTCTCTTTGCATGCTCCCCTCTGTTCATCAGAAGAGCCGATTTACCGCGGTGTGACACGAGCAGATTGATGTAAATATCATATGATTTATCAAGATGGATTTCAATGATCTATTCAGCACAGTAGTCGTGATTGCTTTAACACAAGTTAAAAATCGCTTGAAAAAGTTCTCTCTTGTTGGTCTCGCCCGCATAGTGTGACATGTCCGACGTCATTCTTTGATTGGTTCTTCGACATTAACCAATAGCAAGACAGTGCCCTCCGACTTATGATGCGAGCCTGGATGTGGCGCACGCAATCACAATTCAGTCTTTAAAAAGTAGCTTGAACAAAAGGAGAGATGTTGGAAAGTATACGCAGCGTTTCATCTCATGCTACGTTTGCTAAGTGCAAAGCTAGTAGCTGATTTACAAAAGTGGTGCCACTAAACACATTTGGTAACGCACATGCACATAAAACCTCCGTCAACATGACTTTAACAGCTGCTTGTCCCGCCTCCCTGACGCACCTGCGCCGATGGACTGAATCTTGACGGAAGCATGCAACAATGGGCCAGGGCCTGGTCGGGGGCGGATTGTAGTGTGACATCTTGCCAGGTCCAAGACAAAGAACGATATTTATCTGGTAGTCTGACAGCACAACCATCGTGAACGACAAAAAAAAAAAAAAACGTGTACTTTTACAAGGCCAAAACAGAGCCTCAATGTGTTTAGCCGCTCATGCCATAATATGCTTCAGAATGTCGCAAAGACAGGCTCAGTCCCGACTCGTGGCTACACTGTCTCCCTCTCGAATCACACTTAGCCACAGAGAGTGCGAGAGAGAGAGAGAGAGAGAGAGAGAGAGAGAGAGAGAGAGAGAGAGAGAGAGAGAGGAGAGAGAGAGAGAAAGACCAAAAAGCAATGACTATCCATCCATCCATCCATTTTCCAATCCACTTTATCCTTACAAGGGTCGCAGGGCGTGCTGGAACCTATCCCAGCCGTCTTCGGGGAGTAGGCGGGTGACACCCTGAACCGGTTGCCAGCCAATCGCAGGGCACACACAGACGAACGACCATCCACGCTCACATTCACACCTAGGGACAATTTAGAGTGTTCAATCAGCCTGCCATGCATGTTTTTGCAATGTGGGAGGAAACCGGAGTACCCGGAGAAAACCCACGCGGGCCCAGGGAGAACATGCAAACTCCATACAGGGAGGCCGGAGCTGGAATTCAACCCGGTACCTCTGCACTGTGAGTTTGACGCACTAACCACTGGACCACCAGGCCACCATTAGGCAATGACTCCTCAATTTTTTTTTGTTTGTTTGTTTGTTTTTTAATATTTGGAACAATCTCGAAATGTGACAGACATAACAAGTTAGCATTCATTCTGTGATCCTGTAACATTTGGGAGCTCTGCATTTTGTCATATAAACACCTCATTCACCTCTTAGTCCGAGCTTTGTATATATTTTTAATTATTACCACTCTCATAAGTTTTATTAAAACAGAACATTTGTCTCTTCGTAGAAGTAGAGTATTGGATATGAGATTGTGCAAATGGTCATAATGTTGTGGGACTGGTGTTTCAAAATATTCGCACTCCTAGAACTGCACTCATGCACTCTTGGAAGGATTTCTTCTGGCATGCTCTGCAGCTCCGTCATTGCGGCCAACTTTGGGGAGGTTGTTCCAGTATGGCAGTGATCTACTTGAGCAGAAAATGTCAGCTGCTCAGGGCATTACGAGCAGGAGCCTTTGTCATGGTGAAGTACTTAGCCAGTTGGACCGCCACATCTCTTGCCACTTCTTGCACACCAAACGAAGCAAACCCCACAGCATCTCTTTGTAGAACGTCTGATTGATGGTCTGGTTCTGGAGCAAGAACTCACAGCGACTGATGCCTCCTGAGACGGCATGACTTTGACTTTGGCATTTGATTATCTCATTTTCATCTGCTTTGCTGAATTCCAGTGAAGGCGCAGCTTGTACTGGAATATCCATGACTCATTACAGATGATGACCCTCCTAAGTCTGGTGTCATTCATCTCTTCATCACTTTGCTTATTGTTTGACAACCTGACAAAGGTTTTGTATGGAAAAACATTCAGAAAAATGTTTACCGACTGCAGAGAGCGGAGGGGGGAAACTGGTAGTTTGTATCTTCGGCTTGAATATACTGTCGTGACAGAAGTACTGGAACCTTTCTGACACACCTCGTACGCAGGTTATTGGTCTGAGCACCCCAGAATGCTCTTCACAAAGCATCCTCTCTTCTTTCTGCCGTCCCGTCTCCCTCTTTTCACCCTTCAACCTTCTTTCATCATTATACCCTCTCCCGTGACCTGTCTATGACACCATGCCTGTCCATATATCCCCAGGCCAGGGTCCACTGCGGCCCAGACTGATCAGACCCCTTACTGAGAGGCCATACATGAGGACATCAGAAGGAAAAGGCTTTTACCTTTTCAGATGTTTTGCTTATGCGAAGATCCCACAACACGAGGGAGCCTTGAATCCTATCGTGGCCAGAAAAAAAGATTTTGACATTTTGAGTGAATTCAGAGTGTATGTCAAGCAATGTGTTTTTCTGCCCTTTGTGTCCCTGCCTCGAGCCCTTCGTGGGTGCCCTGTGACTGAACCCCTAGTTTGCCCCC